ATGCGTCTTCCAGGCATCCGTATCTCGATCGGTCACGGCACGGGCAGCCGACGTCACGCCTTCCCGATCCTACGAGTAAAGAAGCCCCGTTGCAACCTTCACTTCACCTGGGGTTCTCACGACTCGAGTCGGTTCCCTCTCGTTCCGTTGCTGCCATCGAACCGGAAAAACCGACGACTCTCTCGGTCGGGGGTGCACAACGTACGGCTTGCGAGGTCCTTCCCCGTGGCCCGCCGTGACCGGTGGCGTTGTGCTATTGTGGCTCCTGCCCTGTTGGCCACAGCTACGGCCAGCCAGACTGCGGCCCGCGGTAGGTGAGTAAAAATCGCAAATGGCCCTCACAACCTTTTGAGTCGTGCACCCCTGCTATAGGTCATCGATTCCCTTAACGATCTGAAATGCCGGGATGAGGTCCCACCTCGTTAACCGACTCTCTCCCTCTCTCTCTCGTACGGTCCCAGCACTTCTAAACGCTTCTCGTATGTCCTCGATCGTTCTCGAAGCCTGCCTCTGGACCCTCTAAAGCGCAGTCGGTTCGCCTTCTCTTGCGAATTACTTCGTACGAGAATGTCTCCACCGTGTACGAGATCCCAGGAATCGAGGGAGAGTGCATCTTTTCGAACCCGAAGTCATTGGATCTCTGCCGTTCCGCTCCCCGAACAAGAGAGGGAAGGGAAAAGGGAGAAGGGGGAGAGGGTCATCCCTACCGCATCCGAGACGGGCGAGAACAAGTACTACTGTACATATTTTTGGATTCTCCCGGCACGTCGGTCGCGATTCCCCTCTCCCCGACAGTCGGCAACCCTTCCACGCTTTCTTTTTTCCTTCCTGCATCTCTTCCAACCCCACGTTTCGGTGACGATCCGGGCGGAAAGAAACCGAGACGCGATCCTCGAGGTCGTCCCTCCCGCTCCCCGTTCGTCCCCGCGAGCTTCCCCCACCGCACGCACGCACGTTCATCCACTCGAACCGCCATCTGGCACGATGAGAACTCGCCTCATTCGCCGTGGGCGAACGAAAGTCACGTCCGGAATTTATTTTGAAACACGGGCGTCCTTCGAGGGACGTGTTGTTTAGGGATACGGTCGCGGCGGGAACGGGGTCCGGGATCCGATCCCATTCCCATCGCGTGCCGACACGAGAACGTCCTGTTTCTTTCTCGAGATTCGTTTCGACGACGGTCGGTGACGCGACGCGGACGCAAAAGCGCATCTTCTCGAGGAGTCGACAGAGCTCTCGCGCCGACCGGCCGCCGGAATCCGTTCCGAAAGGGCACGCGGCTCTCTCGGCGCTTCCTCGGCCTTGGAAGCAGGGAGGTCGTCGTCGTCGCGCCCCCTCTCTGCCGCCCGAGGTACGAGCGGCTCTTCCTTCGTCCCGATCGGATTCCATCGCGCGCGAGGGCTGGCCGTCCGAAAGAGGAGCCTTTCAGGAAAGCTTTTCTGTGCATTTGCGTGTTCCGTGTCAGATAATTCTTTTTTCCTTCATAAAACGGGGTTCTGAGATTAAGGAAGGAAACTAGAAGAAATCCTTGTATCCACATGACCCATTCCAAAATGCAATGTTCACTGCACCTAAGACGAGTACTTGAACGTGACCCATGCGATATGACGCAGCGGCGCTCGAGTCTCGCGTGCGACAACATTTTTTTAGACACGTTACCAGGTGAGTCCTCGTCGGGAGGATTTTGCTGGGAACGTCACGATTCTCACGTTCTTAACGACCGAACGTTAAACTTCCCATTCCATTAACCCTTTTTAAGGACCCTCCATGCCTGCTCGAGTAATATGCCCGCAAAAGGAAGAGAGAAACAAGTCACAAAGTCGTACGGAATGTTCGCAGCGCTTAACTTACTTAACTTACCCGTTAACTCACTCTTATTTGTAGGCTTCCAAAATTGAACGCATTACTCCAAACGTGGTCTTACCAACGCCGCATAAAACGGGAAAAATGACACGTGAACTCTCATTAGTTATATAACGCCGATCGAAGCCTAGAATCCTGTTATGCTTAGCGACCTTCGCTCGTGCGATGCGAGCCGAACTTTGTTCTTGAACTCTTTGACCTGTCGTTTATGACCGATGTGAAGCACCTTACATCTATCTCCTTCGAATAAAATTCAAATTCAACTTAAAACATAATATATTCGTTGGCATTAATCGTGAAATCACACCTTGCCCGTTCCCTTGTCCACGGGACGGGACGGGGCGGGGCGGGGCGGTTTCACGGACCCACGGATCCACAGTTCCCCGGGGAGCGGAAGCGACTCCGCGGACTCGTCACAAAGGTCCGCTCGCCTGCGCCGCGCGGAAACTCACACGTTTCGTCCGGCGAACGACGCGGGACCGCGATCGATCCCGATTCCGTCCGGTTTCCCGTCTCCGAATCGTTTCCTCCTTTCCTCGTCTCCGTATCTTCGAGCGAGAAAGAAATCCTTGGGATCGAGCGAGATCGGCCGACCCGAGTCGCTCGAGATTCCGCGCGAAATCGGGAACGAAAAGAAGAGGACTCGGTCCGCTCGGGACTCCGCGTTCGCTCCCGTGGAAGACTCTCGACGATCGAGTGCGGGTCCGAGGGTCGGCAACGAGCTCGTCCTCTCCGCCGAGCGAGGGAGAAGAAAAGGACGAGCGAAGAGACGGAAGAGATCGGAAGAGACTTGGGACGTTCTGCATCCGTCGCTCGTCTTTCGTTCCTTCGCCGGAGGAAAACGACGGTTCTTTGAGAGTCTCGCGCGAATGACATATTTTTCCGTTCGACCTCGTTCGAACGTTGCGCAAACGGAGGGCCGAGTTGGGAAAGGGGACTCATGGATATGTATGTCATGTATATGGAGGAGATGCCGCAGCATGACTGCACGCGCGATCGTGCTCGCCCATCCTTAAAACGGTATCGACTGCAAATTGATTTCGGTTTCGGAGCATCGAAACGACCCGGCGCGAGTACTCGGGGACGAGAGCAATTTCCACATCTGCGACGGTGGTCGGATTTCGAGAGGGCGATCCATCGACGAGTGCAAGGATGCATGCGAGAGGCGGGTGAGGTAAGGACAGGGTGAGGTAAGGACAGGGTGAGGTAAGGACAGGGTGAGGTAAGGACAGGGTCCTTCGGCGAGATCGAAGCACCGACGAGAACGAGGAGTGGCACTTGAGGAACGACCTTAACGAGAACGGTTCGACGGCGGTGCACCGAAACGTTTGCGCGAAAACGTTTCCTCGACGAGAACGGAGCGGACGAGGCGGTTTCGGTGCGGTGGAGCGTCTCGTCGCGTTCGCGGCATCGGAGCGGACGTCGTCTTCGGCTTCGGCGTTTCCGGCCGTGCGGAAACGTCTTCGCATCCCACGACGACGGCGAGACGAAGAGATCCCGTCGAAGTCGCACGGAAGGAACGCGGAAGGAACGGAGCGAACGAGGAGCTTCGAAACGGCGACTTCGCCCCGGACTGCGAACGACCGACGGAAACGCGCCCGTTCGTAGTCTCGAGGCGAAACGGACGAGCGAGAACTCCCGCGTGCGTGCAGAGAAGAGTGTCCCCGCGAACGGGTGCGGAACGCGTCGCGGCATCGCGAGGTTCGAGCGTTTCGACGATGTGCGATCTCGGTTCGGAGCGCACGCGCCGAACGTGCGATTTCACGGACTCCGCTTCTTCGTGCGAACCGCAAGACCGCGGAATCGACGAAAAGAGACGATCCGTCTCTTTTCGTCGGATGCCTCGGGAGGGGGGACCGCGAAGAGGGACCGCGAAGAGAGGACGGAGACCGTCTGGTAGGAACTGCGGAAAGAGCCGCTCGTCTCGTCGGCGAACGAGACCGCGTCTGCGCGCATCTCCGTCGTAGGAGGCGATCGCGGATGCACGGTCCCACGGTTTCCTCCGTGCGTTTCCGCCGGCGACAGGAAACGATGAACGCGCGGGCATTCCCAAAGTCTCTCGGCGTCTCGTCGTGGAAATCGGACGTCCCGTGACGTGGACTTTTTCCGCAAAACGCCTGTTGGCGCGATCGTCGTGCGATCGATCGGGGTTCGTCGAACGCAACGCCGAGTTCACCCGAGCGAAACGCTCTTTCGAGTGGCTTCTCGCTTCGCGGACGAGCGTTCGTCGGCGGGAACGCTTCCCTTCCGACGCTTTGCCGCCGGAGCGAACCCGAAAGAAAAAGGGCAACCGATCTGCCGTTCCACTGACCCCGTTACCACTGGAATCACCTTTTTTTGCCGCATCCTAACCCCCCCGACTTGAAAACAAATAATAGCTGTCATCGGTGCGTCGTTGTCTAGCTCTCCGGGACCTCATTCTGTCAAATGTGAAAACATTTCAGCGTTACCCAGGCTGACCCAACCTAACTTTTTCAAGGCCTTAAAATTTGAATAAAAATTGTATTTTTTGATTCCGTAAGGGACACCCTTTAAAATTATATACGAATCATCGAAATCGGTTTAGGGGCCAAAACCACATTATATTGGGAAAACTACTTTGCTGGAGCGTTTCTGTGCCGAGAAGAACCACGCAAACTTGTTACTTTAAGTGCTCTCAGCTCTCAGTACGAGGAAACTAATTTTCGTAACGGGAAAGGAGTTGAAGGAAGTATTAGGCGCCTAAGCGCATATTTATGGTTTGCGCGTCCTTGTAGCGTGGAGAACGATGCCAGATACGACATTCGACGCGTGCGCCTAGTAACCCTGTCTACGCGGCCGGGAGCAGCCCAAGATCCCGGGAGCAGCCCAAGATCCTGGGAGCAGCCGCTCTCCTCCGTCGTCTACTATGGGATCCGTCGACCGCCAGGGCTGGAAGGGAAGTGGATGTTTTCGCGAAAGACGGGCACCCCGACCCAGGCGGAAAGCCGTGCGTGCGAATCGGATGGTGCCGTCCGGTCGCTACGGTTATTGCGGACAGACGGAACGAAAAAAAAGCGACAGACCGACCGCAACGTCTGGCATTTCCCCAAAGTACCCATGGGAATGCCAGATAAAAATAAATAAATGACAGACGATCGTAACATCGTCGGCACGGGATGGGGTAATCGCTTGCGGACCGACTGCGGCGCGAACCGACGCGCGTTCCTTCGCGACGGCCGGACGGAGAAGCGCGGAATCGTTTAACGACTCTCTTCTCTAGCGTCGGCGAGGCACGAGTGCGAGAGGGAATGCCGGCTGGGAGACACCCGGATCTGCAAGTACGAATTCCATCTGGAGCTCTACCACACGCTGAGTCGAGCCTGTCACGGATGTCCGAACGTGACCGCGGACTGCTACCGTCCCGACTGCATATCGGGTGACGGTCGACCTCGGCCCGTCACGGTCGTCAATCGACGACTCCCTGGACCCGCCATCCAGGTCGGTTCGCCGTTCTCGAGACGTCGAGTGCGAAAAACGAAAAAAATAAACACTCAGAGAGGATCACCTTGCGGACGGTAGGTGTGCGAAGGAGACGAGATTCAGGTGTTGGTGAAGAACGGGTTGATATCGGAGACGACGACGATCCACTGGCACGGGATCCACCAGTCCGGACCGGGAGCGGCATGGATGGACGGGGTCCCCCACGTCACGCAGTGCCCGATCCTTCCGGGGACGTCCTTCCTCTATTCCTTCCGGGCGCATCCGGCGGGAAGCCACTTCTGGCATTCGCATTCGGGCGTCCAGCGGGGAGACGGAGTCTACGGGGCCCTGGCGGTCAGACGGGCGAGGATCGCGGATCCCCTCGCTTCCCATTACGACGAGGACGCGGACTTCCTCGTCCTCGCCGACTGGTTACCCGAGACGTCCGTCGCCAACTTCGCGTCTCACCACCACGCCTCCGGGGACAACAAACCCGACGGGATCCTCGTGAACGGACGCGGATGGCCTCCCAGAGCCTTCCCTTACCGTCCTTCCCCTTTCCGTCCCGTCGCTTCTCTTCCGCCTCTCGCGAACGTGACCGTGAAGCCCGGCAAGAGACATCGGATACGGGTGATCGGGAACGGAGTCCTCAACTGTCCCCTGGAGATGCTGATCGACGATCATCCGCTGACCGTCGTCGCCACCGACGGCTTCCCCGTCCGACCCTTCGTCGGTTCGTCCTCTTCCCGTCGCCGGAACGCACGCGCCGATCCCACGGCAAAAAGTTTCCGTACGATTCCTCGTCGTTCGATCGAGCGAGAGGTTCGGTTTCCTCTCTCTCGGACCGCGACCGCCATGCGTTCGCAGTGGAGCCCCAAGGGGGGAGGGGGGGGGGGGGGGGGGGGGGA